TTTCAAAGATAAGAGGAATGTTATTTAATGACAGTAACATCGATTTATTTTTTTATAATTTTGAGTACTTTCTGATCAAGTTAATACTTGTATTTTTTTTAAACTAGGCTTTCACATTGCACGAAATGACAGTCAACTTATTCCGTTTTTCTATGTTAAAGCGTTATAAAATATTGTAATAAAGAACAATGAACTGTAATGTACTGTTAACAAGAAAAGTGAACTGCTATTAACTGTAACAGTTATAAAAACAAATCAACAGTATGAACAAATCTTTAAATATAAAAATAAAATAAAAATGTCTTTCGTTGTTTTTTTAATTTAAATATGTCTCTGTTTTGTTCAGATATGAATCCTTTCAATTAATAAATTTCAAACTGAAAAAAGATATAATCTAAATTAAATCATTTGACGGTTAAGGTCATTTAGCGGTCAAGGACATATCTAAATTATTTCATATGTCTGTTTGGTCAAAAGTGTTGTTTTATACACGTATGAATCAAATCCGTACATAAATAAAACAATTATGACAACTAAACCAAAAATTCAATAATTTGACATTGACGGGCAAGGTCATTTAAAGCCCAAAGATAAGGTCAGTTCAACCTTTATAAGTTCTCGTACAAAATGTTGTTTTGACATAGTATGAAGATAATTAATTTTTGTTATTATTAAATATAATTATCAATTACCAAGTTGCTTGCAACTATAGCAAGAAAAAGGTCAAGGTCATAAAACAGCCAACGTCAATTTGAGTTAAATGTACATTTAGGTTTTATCCTAAATAATGTATTGTTAGAATTTTAAGTCAATTCATCAGTTAATGATAAAGTTCTAGCCAGAAACAGCGAACAATAGGGGGGAAAAAAATAATTTTTCCTTCCCAAAAAGGGAAAAAGGGCCCCCTTTTATAGAGAAGTATAGGTTTGGGCTGGGCTAAATTTAAAATATTAAAAAATTTTCGTTTCAAATTTAAGCAAAAATTTTTTCATTTTCCCCGGGCGGTCAAAGGAATAACTAAAGTTTAAGGTTTAAGGGCGGGATCCCCAAATTTTTTTGCCAAAGGAATTTTTTGGGCCAAATATAAGAAAATACATTAAAAACTTAAAACATTTACAAGAACCCAAATTTTGGGCGGCAACGCCCGGGAATTTTTGTTTCTGTTTCAAAAAACCTTTTTTTTTTATCATTGCGAGTAAAAAAATAAATGTAATTGCTTTTTCATACTTTTCCCAAAAATTATTTTTTTTTGGTTTTTTTTTTAAAATCATTTTCGTAAAGGGAAATTTTAAAAGAATTTTTAACTTAGTGCAACTGGGTTCCGGAAACATCAAAGGGCAGCCAGGTTTTTAAATATCCGCACAACAGTATTATTTTCCCATATTTAATTTTTTTTCAGTACATTTTTCACGGGGAGTGATTTCGTGATTACTGTCAAATATAGTAAGGGCCGATTTAAGGGTGTAAACTCGCGGTTAAAACGTTTTAGGGGGCCCAGAATTAAAAAAATTTTTCATCGGGGGAAACACAGGGGGGGGTGTACAATGGGGCTGCAACATTTCACAAAGTGTTTAAATTTCAGCATTTTGGGAGTAACGCTATCTTTATTTTTGCCAAACAAGGGTAAATTTTGACAAACGCTGGTTGATAAAGTAGCGGGCAATTGGGAAAATTTTTTTTCAATTTGTTTTTAACTTTTTTAAGAGAAAATGAAAATCTACGAATTTAAAGAACCCACCGAAAATGCCCCTTTTAGATAACCACAAAATTTCATGCCCACGAATATTAGTGAATTCGCAGTTGTGAATTTTTTTAAAAAAAAAATTTAAAAAAGAGGCAGGAACTTTTTCTAATTTATATTTATTTACTTGGCCCTAAATTAACATTAAAAAAACATGTCCAGAAAATAACTAATATTATGGGGAAAGATACGCATTGTGCCTTTTTGATTATTGACAATACCATGAACGGCTGAATAAGTTAAAAAGGTGTTCATACGGGCATTTTCATTGGAGGGTCCCCCGGCTCCGAAAAGGTTACCATTATTATTTGATTTAGTGAAAACAAATCTGGTTTAAGCTCATAAGCTTAACCAATTTAACCCAATTTTGTATTTAAAACATTTATATTTAAATCATGTGACCATAATTTACCTGAGGGAAAAAATGGGTTTTTGGAAAAAAACAATTTTTTTGTTCAACAAACACGTACATCTTTTGCAATTTTTGTTTTTTTTGAAATGCAGAATTTTTGTTATTTTAATGGGGACGCCCCTCTAAAATTTCTTTTAAAAAAATTCACTAATCTTATTTTGTTTTGGCCCAAAAGATAAATAAAACCTTTTTAAAGTTAGTTTTTTTTGGGAAAAGGAAAAAAACAAACAGACTTTATTTAATGTAAAAACATTTTTAAAATAGCATACCATCGTGAATGTTAGTCTTTTAAATTTATTAAAAAGTAATTATGCTTTTTAAATTTTCAAAATGCCCTTTTGAAATACAGTACCCCCGAAAATTAAAAAAAACATTTTTTCACCTCAAATAATTAGGAAATAAAAAGTTTTTACATAATTTTTAAAACTTATTTTATAAACTGATGTCCCATTTCTATGTTAAGATCATGCAAGGAATAACTTCCCATTATCAACACAAATATTTAATGAAAAACAAAGTTAACCCACTGCAGTACGATTTGAATAACGCATATGTTGATTAAACCCGATGAATGCCATCTATATCGGAGCTGATAAAGGCCTATACGTCAAAGGAGATAAAATATGACAATTTCCAATCGATAAATTGTTGGTATCTAAGGGGAGTTTAAACACATAAATATTTTCAAAGAGTAAACAAGTAGTAAATAAGAGGACAGTAACATCTTTTTTGATTTTTTATATTTTTTAGTACTTTCTAATCAAGTTGAGACTTGTATTGTTTAAAACTGGGTTTTCACATTGCACGAGATGACAGTCAATAGTCCAAGTACACTTATTCCGTTTTTCTATGTTGTAGCGTTATAAAGTACTGTAATAAAGCACAGTAAACTGTAATGTACTGTTATCAATAAAGTGAACTGCTATCTACTGTTATAAAAAATAGTAAATTTTTATATACTTTTATAAGAGATAATTGCTATTCTTATATATAATTAATAGTTAACGGTAACGTGAGATACAAAATCTCATCCGAAACGTTTATTACAAGTAAAAGGAGCCACCACAGGGCGTGTGCAGCGACCGTCTATCCCCTTTGCTACAAGCAAGCAAATTAACAGTTTAAACAAATCTTTAACATTAAATAAAATAAAAATGTTTTTCTTTTTTTTTTTCAATTTTAATATGTCTCTCTAGTCATATTTGTTGTTTTGTCTAGATATGAATCCTTTCAATTAATAAATTACAGACTTGAAAACATACAATAAAATTTCAATCATTTGATGGTTAAGGTCATTTAGCGATCAAGAACATATCTAAATTATTTCAAATGTCAGTTTGGTCAAAAGTGTTCTTTTTTATCTACGTATGACTCAAATCCGTACATATATAAAACAATATTGACAACTAAAATCAAAAATTTAATAATTTGACATTGACGGGCAAGGTCATTTAAAGCCAAAAGATAAAGTCAGTTCGACCTTTTTTAAAGTTTCTCGTACAAATGTTTTTTGACATAGTATGAAGATAATTCATTTTTGTTATTATTAGATATAATTATCAATTACCAGTTGCTTGCAATTATAGCAATAAAAGGTCACGGTCATAAAACAGCCAAAGTCAATTTAAGTTAAATGTACATTTTAGGTTTTATCCTAAATAATGTATTGTTAGAATTTTAAGTCAATTCATCAGTTAATGATAAAGTTCTAGCCAGAAACAGCGAAACAAAAAGAAGGTATAGGTTTGTCTGACTTAACTTGAAGATATATTTAAAAAGATTATTCTGTTCAATTTGAAGCACAATTTTGACATTTGCCCTCGACGGTCAAGGTCATTTATAACTAAAGTTCAATGTAAGTCTGGTATCCTTAAATGTCTTGTCCAAAGGATTGTTTTGGCCAAGTATGAAGAAAATACATTAAGAACTTAAGAGCTATGATCAAGGTACAATTTTGTGGACGGCAACGCCGAGATTACTGTAACAATAACTCTTTTTATTTTATCATTTAAAAGTCGAGTACAAAATGAAGTGTAAGTTGTCTTTTTGCATACATGTTGCCAACACATTATTTTTCTTGTGTTTGTTTTTAAAATCATTTACTGTAAATGTAAATTTAAATGAATTTTAATCTGTATTTGTGCAACTGCTATTCCGTAAACATCAAAGACGATGCCGACTTCTTAATATATCCGCACAATCTAGTATTATTTACTCATATTAATTTATATGCATGTACATTTACACGGTCGATGTGATGTTGCGTGTAGTTACTGTCAAATATAGTAAGACCGATTCAGGGTGTAAACTCGCTGGTTAAAACGTTTCAGGGGTCGTATGAATTATGCAATGTTTACATCGGCGAATCACAGGGGCAGTGTGTACAATGGAGCTGCATATCATGTCATCTAAATGTGTTAATTGCAGTCAATTATCGGCAGTAACTGCTATCTTTATGTTATGCCTAGAGACAAGGATAAGATTATTGACAAGCGCTGTGTGATACGTAGCGACTAATTGTAAGATTACTTTTCATTAGGTTATTAACTTTCTTACAAGAAAATGAAAATCCACGAATTTAAGAACCCACGAAAATGCCCGTTTTAGTAAAACCACGAAATTTCATGCCCACGAATATTAGTGAATTCGCAGTATTGTAGAATTAAAAAAAAATGTAAAAAGAGAAGGAGACAATTCTCTTATGTATATATTTATCTTGACTTGGTAGACATTAAAAAAACATGTCAAAATAACGAATCATTTATGGGAAAGATACGCATGTGCTTTTGATTATTGACAGATACGCATGCAGCGCTGATAAGTTAATGAAAGGTGTTCATACGCAGTTTCATTGAGTGTCCGCTCCGAAAAGGTACATTATTTATTGTATTTTAGTGTAAGACAAATTCTGGTTAAGTTCATATATGCTAAACCAATTAACAATTTTGTATTAAAACATACTATTTAAATCATTTGACTCATATGACCTTGAGGAAAATATGAGTTTATTGGAAAAAACAATTTATTTTTCAACAAGATCAGTACATCTCTGCAATTATGTATTGTATGTAAATGTCAGAATCGTTTTTGTTATTATAATGGAGACGCCCCTCTAAACATGCTTTAACAAAATCTTCACTAAGTCTTATTATGTTTGGTCAAGAGATAAATATACCTTTTAATGTTAGTTTGTTTGAAATGCGAAGATAATTACCACTAAACAGTACTTTATGTATATGTATATTACATAAATATAGCGATACGCATCTTGATTTATGTTATGTCTTTGAAATTGATTCAAAAGTATTATTTATTTCATTTGTAGGTAACAAATTCGTTTACGAAGATGCCTTTAGAAACGATCAGTACCTTAAATTAAAAAAGACATTGTAACACCTCAAATAAAGAGGTAAATAAACTGTTTTCACATATTTTAAATAATGATTTTATAAACTGATGTCCCATTTCTATGTTAAGATCATGCAAGGAATAACTTCCCATTATCAACACAAATATTTAATGAAAAACAAAGTTAACCCAGTACGATTTGAATAACGCATATGTTGATTAAACCCGATGAATGCCATCTATATCGGAGCTGATAAAGGCCTATACGTCAAAGGAGATAAAATATGACAATTTCCAATCGATAAATTGTTGGTATCTAAGGGGAGTTTAAACAAATAAATATTTTCAAAGAGTAAACAAGTAGTAAAATAAGAGGACAGTAACATCTATTTGATTTTTTATATTGTACTTGTATTTTTTTAAAACTGGATTTTCACATTGCACGAGTCATTCATAACTCAAGTTCAATGTAGGTCTGGTATCCTTAACGGTCTTGTCCAAAGGCGTGTTGTGGCCAAGTATGAAGACAATTAACTAAGAACTTAAACAGTTATGATCAAGGTACAATTTTGCGACGGCAACGGCAACGCAGAGATTACTTTAACAATAACTCTATCTAATTTATCTTTGTAAAGTCGAATTAAACATGAAGTGTTAGTTGTCTTTTTGCACACATGTGGCCAACACATTCTTTTTGTTGTTTTTGTTTTAAAATCCGTTTATTGTAGAATTAAAAAAAATAAAAAGAGAAGGGGACAATTCTCTAATGTATGCTTATATCTTGTCTTGGTACACATTTCAAAATACATGTCAAAATAACGAACATTTATGGGAAAGATACGCATGCGCTTTTGATCATTGGCAGATACGCATGCGCCGCTGATAAGTTACTGAAATATGTTCATATGCAGTTTCATTGAGTGCCCGCTCCAAAATGGCGAAATTTAGTCCTGGATTGGATAACAAAGAATAAAGATTAATACAGAAAGTTACGATAAAATGTACATTATCTATTGTATTTTAGTGTCAGACAATTCTGTTTAAATTCATATATGCTAAACCAATTAAAAATTGTGTGTTAAAAATATTTTATCACTTGACTCATATGACCTTGAGGAAAATATGAGTATATTGGAAAAACGAGTTAAGACAGATTTAAGATATCAAATTATAATGAACATTTTAAACAGATGTAATTGAAATCGGACATGAATAAAAAATGAAAGAGTTTATTGTCTGTAGTTTAGAACTCTGTGTACACACGGGAAAAAAGTTATTGGGTCTCTTTTAAATTTGTTTTTGTCTTAAACAATTTTATTTCATATAAAAAGCGACGAAGGAATATAGTATTTATAGCATAGCAAATTATCCGTCGGACAGATACGCATGCGCTTTTAATATGTGATAGGTACGCATGCGCTGTTGATTTGTGAAACATATTAATGCATAGTAACATGACGCGCCCGCTTTGGAATAGCGTTATGTAATCCTGAATTAAATAAGATAACAAATTGAAAAAACGTTATAGTACATTATTTATAATATTTTATTGTGAAACATTTATTTTCAACTATTTCAACTATTTAAAAGCTAAAACATATAAAATCACATTGAGCTTATTGAAACAAAGGTTTGACTTGTGTGACCTTAAATTAGGAAAATGTTTTACCAGAGTATATGAAGCAAATATCATTTTCAACAACAGCAAATCATAGCTGCAATAATTTGATATTTTTAGTATTTAGATAATAGAATTGTTCTGAAAAGTGCAGGCAAAATTGTTGGTATTCAACTTGAAAATAGTTTAACTCCATCATGATTTAATATTTGATAGAACAATACAGCTAAAAACTGATTTTTTTCTCTTGAAAAACATACTTTCGCCTAAGTCAAAAGCACTTGGTGGATGGTTTATAGGGGTTTACCAGAACATTTATATTTTGTAGTAATGGCCTTTGGTTGTAAAACCCAATAAATCGAAAATTGTTATGTTTTTAATCTGTTGAGGGTTTTTAAATGATATGCATAAAATGCATTACTATTTTACTAAAGAAGGTAGAGCACGATATTTGTAAAGTCATTTAGTATCTTCAAGTGGCAAATGTAATCTGTGTTAGTACTAGTAGATTTTGCCTCTGACACCTATAAGCTCCAGACCTTACTTAATAAATACCAATAAATAACTGTTTATCCACCCATACTAGTAGATTTTGCCTCTTACATCTTTAAGCTCCAGACCTTACTTAATTAATACCAATAAATAACTGTTTATCCACCCATACTAGTAGATTTTGCCTCTTACATCTTTAAGCTCCAGACCTTACTTAATTAATACCAATAAATAACTGTTTATCCATCAATACTAGTATATGTTGCCTCTTACACCTATAAGCTCCAGACCTTACTTGATTAATACCAATAAATAAATGTTTATCCATCCATACTAGTAGATTTTGCCTCTAACACCTATAAGCTCAAGACATTACTTAATTAATACCAAAAATAACTGTTTATCTATCCATAGATTTTTCCTCTTTCACCTATTAGCTCCAGACCTTGCTTAATTAATACCAAAGCTCAATTCTGAGATCCATATGTCGTTCCGGAAGTGTAAAGGATTTAAGGCATAGCCTCTTATCCCTCAAAATTTAATTTTTTTCAGATCCGCCCATCGTTTTCTCGTTTAGTGCACACGCATTGTTTTACTTTGGAACGATACGACGCTTTTCATGGACATCAATAACGTGTCATAATGAAGGTTCAATGATACCCGCCGGATCAACGCATCTGTGGATGTTTCTAAATTAAAAATTTCGCTCTTTTCATGTTTTAATGTTGAATTCTGCTTTAGCGATGCGTGGGCAGTAGCTTGCACTTACCAGTACTTTCCATGACCATACTCAATCAAACTGAGCCTGCAAAGTTTTTAATTTTGTCGTTTTGGGATTTCTTTAGGGATTCTGCTTTCACTATTTTAATAATGTATTATGGGTTTATTTATTAATATACACAGAGCGTGCACTTGTAATATATAATTATCACATACACGTGATTCTATATATAGTTCTATCGTTTTATGACCACTGATTGTTCAATGTACAACAAATAATTACTGTTATTTCTGTAACTTACCAATAACAAGCTATACTATTTGAGGCTGAAACACAAACAATTGATACTATAAAATCATACAGATTTATCTAGTTAACCAATTAACTCATATACACGCGTTGTTTTCATCCCTTTTCATCCCATTTCAGTGAAAAAAAATACTCTATTTCGGCCTTAAACACTTGTTTTCTATAAAAAGTGATCACATTTTTCGGCGCCGCCCCATCAAGACAATTTTTGACTGGTAATATGCTAAAAATGGTCTGAGGTCGATCTTAGGTAATGTGTAACCAAACCAACGCTGAAAGTCATTCGACTTTATTCCAATCCATTGATATTTCTTTATATGTTACCTTCATGAAATAAAATGTTTATTATTATTATTATTATTATTATTGAGAAGTTGCAGCACTTCGAAATCAGTTGACAATTTTGAGATGTCCCATCGTTGCCATGGTAGCAGGAAATTCAAGAGTAAGCATGTCGTTACAAAGGCTACGGTCAAGTCAACATTTGTGCCAAGTTTGATCAGTAATGAGTATTGAAGCATTTTGTAAAGTGTCATAGCAATTGTAATTTGTAACAGGAGGCTTTTCAATGAAAACAGCAATGTTTTGCAAAATGCCATTGAATGCGGTGTTTTTTATTGACTTTAACAAATAAATATTTTAGTCATTATTCTATTTCGGCTTCTAATATTTTTTTGTCCGATTATTGACTCTACATGAGGCAAAAATGCTGAAATCCACTGTTCTGTACGTGCAGTGTAATATTAATATAAATTTATCTCTGAAAACTGAATAATGAAATAAAATGCAGAATATAGAGCAAAACAAAACATGGACATGGATGTCTGTGTCAGTGTTGACAGATATTATTTAAACTAAAGATGTTTGTCAATATGGATAAAATTAAAAACATAGATTTTCTATAAAAAGTATTTACCAGTAATGGGACTAGAATGAGTGTTGTTCAAGCATTATTGCAAAACAAAAATTTATTTTCATCTTGGACATCGTATACGATCCCTGTTTTAAACAGAACTTACCAGAAATTATGACAAAAATCAAATGCATGCAATGCAATTGCAGTTCTGCTTCATCTCATGCCAAGCATGGTGGTGCATTAAAGTTTACAATACCATATATATGTATACCCCGAATGAATATTAAAATAATAAATAAGACTGAAAGTTTGTAGTGTACAGACTTAGTTTTAGTATTAGCTCGCAAAAATAGTCACATTCTTCGTACATAATATTACAAATGACATTTGTGCAGCGGAACTTGCTTCGGAACTGGTGAAACCAACCAGATTCAATAAAGCAGTATTCTTACTAGAAAAAAAGATAATATATTTCCTAATAATTGTTAGGTTTGAAGTCGAATCAAATACTTGTATCAACTAGCTAACATGTACGGTACATTTTTTATACCAACTATTTGTTAATTTGTATGCAGACACCAAAAGTTAAAAAAACTGCACCGGAACCGGTCAAACAACTTTATCACATTTTTATTAGAAAGTAACATATTATATTGCAATTTTTTTAACCAAAAGAAAATGCTGAGGCCATTATCATACCTAATTTTATTGCATTAAGAACACATTTACGGAAACACTATATAATTAAAATGTAAATCATTATATAATACATTTTTACCATTGAGTTTTTTAGTCAATATAGAAAAACAATCAAAACAAAATCTATTATTTATAAGTCCAAAGTTTTCATGCTATTTTTGCCTCATTATTTAGAAAATTAGAAATCTATATAGCCATAGAGGGAAAATACATTTTACTGGTAAGTGAAGGACAATATTTAGTGTTGTGAGGCCTTTATGAATCGCGCATGCGCTGTTAAATTGAAGAAAATATCAGTATGGCGGAGTTTAGTCCAGGATAAGATTTTTCTTAAAATTTTAAGAAATTGATGTAAGTATCTTTTAAATCTTGTAGCCGTTATGTTAAAGAATTTAAACTGAAACGAAATGATTACTTCATGAAACAGAAATAACTAATGTGCCAACAAATTTTACAAAAAGTTAACAATTAAAAACAAAAGTAGATTTATGAAAAACTGGGGGAATTCCCACATTAGGCTAATACTTATAGATGTTTCAAATGGAAAGGCAACACCCATTTATCAAGCATTTATAAGTCATGTTTGTTATCTGAAATCATACTTTTGATGAATACTTTATTAAACTGATTTTATTAGGATACAGTAGATTTATGAAAATTTTCCAAAAGGTGTTCAGCGAAAACGAAAGTAGAAATTATTAACCAATTATTTCGTTCTAAATTATTTCGAATTCAGACCTGAATCTTACCAGTTTCTGACCTCAATTCAACCAATATATAACAATAATGTAACTAAAATGTGTCCATGATCCGACCAAATTCAGACATTCCGAAAAGTAACAGGTAAATCTGTTCTTATTTTATTAAATCTATATACATGTATATAATATAAACAATAAATACAAGTTGTGGCCTCCCATTACCAGCACGGGTTCCTAAAATGCATTCACACGTGTAAACTGTATAAAATATCCTCCATTGATTCCATCAAAGTTATTGTAGAAGTTAATATATGAATCAGGGATCATCGATCCTGGGGGGAAATTTTAGGGAAAAGGGAAACAACCCAATGTGTATGCATTAACGAATTATAGACAGGGTGGACCGTATCAGGGCGGACCGTATGTTTGGACGGGCGGACCATATTTTGGGACAGGGTGGACCGTTTATACCGGGAATAAACTTTAACCTTTACTTAATGCAGTTTATTGATTAAAAATATTTTTTAGGATATTATTAATAACCACATTGAGTTGGATATTATGCAGGTGATAATTGACCAATATTACATGCCATTGTTTGTTAAATATAAGATGGAAAGCCGCTAAAATTGAAATTCTTTATTAAACAAAATGATACAGAAAATACTTGTTATTCACATTTGATATTGTGAAACACAATACAACACAATAATGTAAAATTTTGATTCTTTGACAAGTTAGTTTACATGTATATTAGAATTTGTTTAATTAAGATGATGTCTGTTTAGTGAATTACATCATGTAATATGCATGTATACAGTGTATATTAATTAATTATTATTTTTTTGTTTTCATATTGTTTATTTGTAATTAAGTAATATAAATAATCTATTTTCTTCTATACAGCGAAATTTAATGTTATGAATGGTATATATAAAAATAGTACAATGAAGGTAATTGTTTCAAGTTTATATTAACATTGAGGGCATAAGGAAAATATGTTTTATATATGAGATTTTCTCAAACCATTCACATTAGCTTATACAACCTATTTTATACTTATAATTGTATGGGTCAATATCTATAATAATGAATATAAAGTTAGATTAATCCACAATCCACCTTATGTTGTGTGCACATGATTAAAATATTAATATCATATGAAGATTTAACAAGTTTTAGATCGATGTTAATTTTTTAAATTCAAATCTGTTCAATATGAAAATGCTTATAATTATGACATGTTTAGGATAATAATGATGCCAAAATATATATAGAAAATTAAATAGCAATATTTAATTCGAAAATATACATGGTCCGCCTCGTCTCGAGTCACGGTCCGTCCTGTCCCAAAATATGGTCTGCCCCGCCCTGGTACGGTCTGTCCTGTCTCACGGTCTGCCCTATCCTACATGTACCACCGCATTATCATGCATGGCTAATTGGCTGTACATCCTTTAACTATAATATAAACACAATTAACAACACTTATAACATTTCCACAGTTTATTTATTAATAGTAGATCTGGCAATGGCCTCTAAACGTTTTTTAGCTGCAAATATGGATAAAAACAAATAATTTGTAAGATTTCTCTAAATATTTGTTTCTATGTTTTCATGTAGATTTGTTGTTAATGTCACGGATTTATATTACAGGGATCGGTCACTCCAAGTTAACTCTATATAAATTCCCAAATATCTTGTCGCGCACCCGATAAAGGTACACCGATCGATAAATTTACTGCCACTAAGCGTAAATGCCTGTTCGCAATGGATACTTACTTTACAAAATACCGTACAGCTTTTCCATTTATTATTCGATTTTGGAAATTTAAAGTTTATTTTGAAGAAAAATACTTGTTTCATTCAAATATCTTAATTTATTTTTTAAAGATACAGACTATCTGTTCGAAACGACGATTATAAAATTAACTTGACGAAATCAGCTGTGAATTTACCTTTTTTATATAAAAAGCAGATATTTGAAATTTATTATACGGTAACATAATAAATTTAATTTCAAAATAAAAAAGAAGCCGATGTAAATTATTCACAGAATGATGATCATAGATGTAATAATTAAGATTTATTGGGTTATGTAGTCAAATTTATTGACGCACAATTGTTTTACGGGTAAATGTATTGCGGGCTTAACAATTCGCTCAACACGTGAAGTAAATTTATTCATTTTTTTTAGTACAAAATATTGTTGATATTGTCAATTTTGCCATTTTCATAGAATATTTAAATTTCCTTCATCATTTATATCATCATTATTTTTTTGTAAATCTGTTTTCAAACGTCGATGCAGTGAAGTAGACAATCAGCGTAACAGTAAAGTACTCCCGTGTGGCTGTCTCGATTTCGGCCTTTTTAATGTCACTTGTATACATGTATTTAAATTATTCTTTTTATTTGAATGCCTGTAGAAAGATATCTTTTCTTTACATTAAAATGATGATATTTTTTTGTGATCCAAGTGTCCGCACTTCTTTGGTAGGGAATACACATGTGTCAACATCAAAGATTGGCAGAATCTTTTGGAGAGCAGACTAGTCAATTGTCAGAGGTCATCATGTGTGTAAATTTTGCGTATGTAATTTAACAATGGAAACATTATAATATTATCTCATTTATTTATTGATGCTACTTTGCTGGCGAGTGTTTTCGTGTATTTTCGCACAATTGAATATTGACAGTCTGCGATGAATTTTTGTTAAAGTTTAAAATTTTTAAAACAGGGGCAATTATCTGCCCTTAGAAATTTAAGAAGATGAATGCTGGGTGTGTTATTTTTTTTTCAGACGTACAAATGTATTTTAGTAAATTACTGCGTGTAATAAATTGACCATTGGTCACCCAAGAAAGCGGAATGTCCATGCAATATTTCACAGTGATCAACAGTGACGATATTCCGCAGCACAAATTGCACCCGATCAGGTGATAATGTAGCAGGGACGTTGCCGTGACAATCCAACCGTAAAATAATCGCAGTGATTGGCGGACTTTATTAATTTGTTTAAGCTGTACTGTACATTTATGGAAAGTAGATTTATAATTGATATTGAGATATGTTTCTTATTTTTTTTATGGTTTATAAAGTTTCCTTGCTTATAATTCCAAAGAAAAAAAGACACAAAAAATGTCTCGAGATGACATCTAACATGTCTTTTAAGTTCTACTTGAGACGTAGAAATGGTTGAATTGATTTTGGCTGCTCGATGAGGAACAAATAATATCTACTTCTGTACTATATGATGACTATTTCTTACAACGAATCTTAGATGAGCAATCTGGGGCCAATATGGTCCTCTAGTGATAGTAGCAATGCCTTCATTGTATGTCAAAGTTCATGGTCCCTTAACTGGGGCCAGCTTTCAGGGCATACAAGTGTTTGTGATCAATCATAGTTAATAATGGTTTTCCTTTGATTCTTACAAATTGTAGCTAAAAATATTTTTTGTTTGTTTTAGAAATCAAGATGGCACATGAGATACATTTAAAGAACAACAAATACCGGCAGTGGGTTAAGGCTGGCCTAGGCTTGGGTTATCTTAAAGAGGGACTTGCGCCATTTTGTGATGACATAGGAAGACAGCAGCACAACGATATTATAAACAAAATACAACAAACAAAGACTCCTCAACCAAACATACCATGTGGCGCCTGTCAGATAACAACTCTCCAGCCAGATCATGTCCGAGTCTCAAAAGGGATATGTCCCCTCAATCAAGATAAATGTAACTGTTGTTTTCCTAATAATAAGAGACCCTGTCCAAACAATGTATGTGGTGCCATCTATGACAGCATTATACAGTATCATGCATCAATGCCACCAGTACCTTTTTGGAAAAACAGTGATGCCCAACAGTGGTCGACAGACCCATGGAACGTTTGCAAATGTTTTATAAATGCTCCTGGGTACAAGGACAAGACATCAGCAGTCGACACTGATTGCACTGGGTTGCTTCATGTTATCATAAATAACAAGTACTTTCATAGTCATATTGGATGCAATGTTACAGGACCAAACAATCTTTTTTCAAAGGTAACTAGATTTGTTTACTATAATTATTATGTTTATTTTAAATTTTGTAGAATATTAGGCTTTACTGTAAGATTAAAATGTTGTCTGTTAATTGCGTATAAAAGTAAAAGAGATAATTGTTACCTTAGTGTAGTTATTATGCCCCCACTTCATAGAAGAGGGGGTATATTGCTTTGCATTTGTCGGTCCGTCAGTTTGTAGACCAAATGGTTTCCGAGTGATAACTAAAGAACCCTTAGGCCTAGGAACTTCACACTTGGTATGGTGATTGGTCATGACCAGTAGATGACCTCTGTTGATTTTGAGGTCAAGGGGTCAAAGGTTAAGGTCACATTGATCTTGTAGGTGAAAACGGTTTCCGATCAATAACTAAAGAACACTTAGGCCTAGAAACTTCAAACTTGGTATGATGATTGGTCATGACCAGCAGATGACCCCTATTGATTTTGGGGTCAAAGGTCAAGATCACATTGACTTTGTAGGTAAAAACGGTTTCCGATCAATAACTAAAGAACGCTTAGGCCTAGGAACTTCAAACTTGGTATGGTGATTGGTCATGACCAGTAGGTGACCTCTATTGATTTTGGGATCAAGGGGTCAATGTCATTTTGACCTTGTACTTTATGACGGTTTCTGACCAATAACTCAACAACTCAAGTTGATATTTTTATATTAAACTAAAAATGCTTTTGGTATACACATTTGAAGGTCTTATGTAACAACTTGGCTGTCATTAATGAGGCCTGCATGATTCACAAAATTTATGCATATATTATTTGTTAAGATTTGTAATAACTTAAATTGCTGCACACAACCTATGGGGTCACAATGATTATTATTACCTTGTTACCTTGTGACTAGTCATGAACAGTAGATACTAGATAACCCTTATTAATTGTTTGTTCACTCTGGGTCAGAAGTCATGCATAATAACCTGATCACATGACTAATTGGCTGCCGATAGGGGGCATACATGTTTTACAAACTTCTTTGTTGGTTATAAACTCTATTATATAACTTTATAGGAGTTTACCCATTACTGCACTAAGGTGACTATCCCTTACCAAAAAAAGGGCTCTCTGGTGAACATTGCGGCAAGTTTTGCCGCAAACATTGCGGTGAGTTTGCGGCAAACTGCTTTCAGCAATTATTTACGCATGCAAATGAGGTTTGCGGCAAATTTGCCGCAACTCATGAGGTTAGCGGCAAACTTGCCGCTAAACTATAGGGGGAGGTAGCTTCTGTTTGCGGCAAATTTACCGCAAACCTCATTTGCATGGTAAAAGTTTGCAGATGTTCGCCAAAAGTTTGCGGCAAATTTGCAGCAAACTTCATTTGCATAGTAAGTTTGCGGATGTTCGCCAGAAGCTTTTGGTAACACTGCGGCAAACTTCATTTGCATATTTGCAGTTTCAGCAAATATGTTATGGCGATATTTTGGCAAACATTTTGGTAAAGTTCTGGCGAACATTTTTTTCAAACATTGGAATAATAAAAACTAGCTGAATTATAAGAAAACAAATACATATTGGTTTAACACATTTTTTCAATAGAAAATAAAAGAAATATTACATAACATATCAGTAGAATAAAATGAAATTTGATAAATTTGTAAAATAAAGAAATTAATTCCCAAAAAGAGATAAATTTTACACACATTTTATTAGCAACTGATTCTATACATATTTGACTTTCATAAATTTCCACTCTTTTAGTTATGATGCTATCATGAATTGTTCATATTACTTAATAATCAATTAAAACAAGAGCCGGTTGAACCGGGGTGATCCTAGATACAGAAAAGTATATCTTTTGAAGTTTCAGGGTTATGTCCCAGACAAAGTTCAAAGTGTGATAATTCGAAAAATAGTTGTAAAATCCCACTTTAAATAACGACGTTATGGGCCGTACACATTTTTGCTTCAAGGTCATGCTGTGACCTAGACCTTCAAGGTAATGACCCAAATGTTGCATGTGACATATCGTCTCAATATGGTGATCATTTCCGTGAAATAGTTGTAAAATCCGAATTCAAATAACGAATTTATGGGCCGGACCACGATTTTTGCTTCAATGTCATGTTGCGACCTTGACCTTCAAGGTATTGACCCAAATGGTATGTGCGACACATCGTCTCAATATGGTGATCATTTCTGTGAAATAGTTGTAAAATCCGACATCAAATAACCAAGTTATGGGCCGGCACAATTTTTGTTTAAGGTCATGCTGTGACCTTGACCTTCAAGGTAACGACCCAAATGCTGCGCACGACACATCGTCTCAATATGGTGATCATAACTTTTAAATAGCTTTAAAATCCGACTTCAAAATAAACGAAGTTATGGGCAGGACATGATTTTTGTTCAAGGTCATGGTGTGACCTTGACCTTCAAGGTAGCGACCCAAATGTTTGCGGGCGACAGGTCGTCTCAATATGGTTGAGCATTTCTGTGAAATAGTTTTTAAAATCCAACTTGAAATAAAACAAAGTTATGGGCTGGACACGAAATTCAGGTTCGTATGTACGTAGACAGACGGACAGACAACCCAATGACTATATGGTCCGCCGAAATTTTTTCGGGGAGCATATAAACAATGTTTGACAATAGCTATTATTCAGCACATGTTCCAGTATTTTTTCTTAGCACCATAAATGGGAAATATAATATTGTTGTAAAAGATAAAAATCAGAAAAGTTACAGTTTGAAATCTATCTATCTGGAACAAAAAGTTTCATTCAAACATGAACTGGCATGGATTAAACATACATACTTCGACATCCACTTAGACAAATCACTATTAATAACAATAAATACTAACAATAGCGTTATGTGTTTTATGCAAAAACAGACTAGACCAATAATGGCTTTTCAAAAATTGTAAAAATGAATCTCAAAAATATATTTTGGTCTTAAAACAAACAACATATTTCATGGACATAATACCTTCAGATTTAAACTCGTATGTCATATAAACATTTATGATTGTGAGCAAAAACAATATCCGACACGAACAATTATGGCTTTCAAAATTGTTAAAATTAATCACAACAATATATTTGGGTCTTATACAAACAACGAATTTCATAGACATAATTTTTTGTTTGCTTGTTTTGGGTTTTTTACGTCACATCAACACAGTAAAGGTCATATCGTGACGTTCAGGTGCCCTTCCTTGCATTATTTCAGGCACGAACGGGTATCTGAGTAGAACCCACTGACGTTAAGCCTAGCTGGATAGCTTCCCTCACAAGACAGATTCCAAAGTCCCTGTCGGGATTCCAACCCACAGGCGGTGAGGGGCAAGTGGTTTGAAGTCAATGACCTTAACCACTCGGCCACGGACGCCCCTCATAGACATAATAACTAAAGATTTAAACTAAATGTCTTTTAGTCATGTCATATAACAATTGCAAGCAAAACAAAAACAAACTAGAGCAATAATGGCTTTCAAAATTGTAAAAAATGAATCTTACAATATTTTTGGGTCTTATACAAATATAGACAATAACTATTAAAGATTAAAACTAATTGTCTTTAGCCATGTAATATAATGATTGCAAGCAAAACAAAAACTGACTAGAACAATAATGGCTTTCAAATTTGTAAAAATGAATCTTAACAATATATTTGTCTCTTGTACAAACATAAACATAATAACTTAAGAATAAAACTAAATGTCTTTAGTCATGTCATATAGCGATTGCAAGCAAAACAAAAACTGACTAGACAATATCGTAAGTTTGCATGAAATTGGCTTGGCAATTTATGAGATGTTGTTTAAAGATCAAGTTTTACGGACGAAAGATAGACAAAAGCTCGCAATGTCACTTTGTTAGCTAAAAAGCACTACTTTTTACTCTTTCACTCTTCCAAGTTTCAGTGCCCTGGCCATTGTGTGTATTTTGGTGTTGACTGCTTTGGTGACTAAGCTTCTCTCCATATTTAGTTTATTGGTGCAGTACACTGAAAAAAACAAGGTTTATTTTTCATTTTCCATGTTACCCATGTTTATACTGGATAAAAACTAGAACTATCACTGAAGGTGAATGATACCCCAAAACCCCACTTTGAAGTAAAGTGGCAGTAATCTATTAGTAAAAAGCCCACCTACAAATGAAGAAAATAAAACACCAAAGGCAATTATTATTTATTGCTGGCTTGATTTTGATCTGTTGGGATGAAAACATGTATTTGCATTGCAAAACCTATATTTATTTACAAATGACAAGTTGCTCATATATTATAAGTTTTATCTAACTTAGTTAAGAAATCAAGGTATCATGTTAAAAAAACACCCAAAAATAACAAACAAGAAGCGATCAGTGATCACATGTGTCGCCTCATGATGGCCAATTTCATGTTGGGACAAGTTTTGTGACAGACAGACAGACAGTGCCACAACTAGACTTGGTACTGATCATTCCTTTAAAAGTTTTAGGATGAAATTGCACCAGTAGTTTTTGAGGAGTAGTCCGGAACAAGCTTTTTATGTATCTGGCAAACACACAGAAAAAAAACCACCTTTTCATCAAACTTGCCAAAATATCATTCAACCGGAAAACCTGTGCAATATGTGCAAGGACTTGAGCAACAGATCAACCCCTGTAAAGTTTCATTGAAATTGCATTTGTGGTATAAGAGATGTAGTCCGGACAAACTTAAAAAAGGGCCATACCTCTGACAAAAATCATTGAACCGGAAAATGCTGACAATATGCACAACTAGACTTGGTACTGATCATTCCTGTAAAGTTTTGGATGAAATTGCACCAGTAGTTTATGAGGAGTAGTCAGGACAAGCTTTTGTGTATCTGGCAACACACAGAAAAAAAAACCTTTTTATCAAAGGGCCATAACTCGGCCAAAAGTCATTCAACCGGAAAACTCATGAAAATATGCACAAGGACTTAAGCTACAGATTCAACCCTGTAAAGTTTCATTGAAATTGCATTAAAGTGGTATAAGAGAAGTAGTCAAGAACAAACTTTAAAAAAAAATA